CCTGATGAGAGTGCGTAAATATGAACACATCACACCCATCCTTCAGACACTACACTGGCTCCCTAGTTCATTCAGGATTCAATACAAAGTCACCCTTCTCACCTACCAGTTCACCCATGGAAATGCCCCCCTCTATCTCAAAGAACTCCTCACCCCACAATCCTCCACTCTGGAAACACCAACCTCCTCCATCCCCCAGGACTAAACTCCACACCATGGGTGACCGGGCCTTCTGCTCCTCTGCTCCCAGTCTGTGGAACGCTCTCCCTGAGCAGCTGAGGGCTCCACAGTCTGCTGACGCTTTTAAAAGGGCCCTAAAAACCCACCTTTTTAACAAAGCCTTCTGCTTGTGCTTTTAGTTTTGTTATTTGCTTAGTTGATGAAATTTGTTTTTATTTCTATTTCTTTTTCCCTGTAGCATTTTTTTTTGCAAAAATGTAAAGTGCATTACAAATTAAATGTATTATTATTATTATTACTTTAACATAGGAGTGTTTTTAGGCAACACTTGCTAAGAATGGAATACCAAAAAAACACTCCCAACGCCAGGGCTGTAAACTAAGAGAAAAATAATTTAACACAAAATGTTCAATCTGTCTTGACAAGATGGAAGTGTACTCAAATTCAGTGAACCAATTACTGCAAAAGTTGATCAAAAACATGTCCTGGGGTGCCAGTGGTGTGGTGGTTGGTGTGTGCACTCCCATGTGCAGAGTCTGTGGTCCTCCAAGTGGGCAGCCTGGGTCCAGTCCAACCTGTGGCTCCTTTCCCATATATCATTCCACACTCTCTCAACCTGGTTTCCGACTCTATCCATTATCCTATCTCCATGGTGGAGGCACAAAACCCCCAAAAATAAAATAATTAAAATTAAAAAACAAAATGTGCACAATTTTCTGTAAGAACCAGCATGTAGGTCAGGGAGATGGAGCGGACATCTTGCAATTGTAACTTCTCTTTAGCTTGGTCTTTTTCTGAATGCTCTCTGATGGGAGTGAAACCGTCTGCAGGGTGGGTTGGATATTTGACGCAGTTGCTGCCAGCTGTCTTCTGGTGTCTTCACTGCGGTGTTATCATGAGAGTTCCTGGTAACACTGACTCATTGTAGATTTGATTTCCTGTTGAAGCACATTCTTGTTTGCAGTACAATCTATGGTCTAATAAGAGGTTTTTTACAGGCATCAATATGCTATGAATGACACCAGTGAAAAAAAAAAAAAAAGGAAACACATTTCAAAGAAAATGAAAAAGTAAATCAAAATATCTAAAACAGTTGCAGAGAGCAAGCAAGTAATTTAAAACAGGCCACAACATGGGGCGCTGGTGGCGCAGTGATCAGTGCGTGCGCCCCATGTATGGAGGCTATAGTCCTCAAAGCGGGCGGCCCATGTTCAAGTCTAGCCTGTGGCGCCTTTCCCTACTCTCCTTGATTTCCAGCTCTATCCAATCTCTCAATTAAAAGCCCAAAAATAAATCTTAAAAAAATATATATTTTTTTTAAAACAGGCCACACCATCAACTTTAAATGTCAGTAGATGTCAAAATTAAATTCAGTTCAGTTGTCATAAGCAGTCTTACCTATAGCCTGGGATAAAACTGGGACACTTTTGAGTACCAGTGTCTTGTCTGAAGCACTTTTTGAATTGCCTTGTTTCTGAAATGTGCTTAAAACTTGCCAATATGTTACAAGTTAAATTCAATGTTTTGGAGCTTCAACACACCAGGGACATCATTTTGACTACCCTCTTATTGCATCTGGCAGTTCAGGTAGTTATTTTATTTATTTCTCAGGGGTTCATATCTGAGATTTCTTCCTCCACCTCAAAACAGATGTGGATTAAATGTTGGCCGTGGGCTATCACAGCATTCACTACTCCCTTTAGGGAACATTAATTAGCCCCATCTTGTCCCAGAAACAGAATTTCGAATAATTATAATAGCAATCAGATAAAATCAATCAGCTAATGTCTACAAAAGTAATTGATAACCCTTTAAATGGCAAAACTTGGTGAATAAATGCTGCTTACATGTTCCAAGGGCCCTAGCTGCTATCCTCAGATTTGTTATTTTGTTTAACCAGTAGTCTAAAACCCCCCAAACTCTTTATTTACTACAGTGCATGACAAAGGAAAGAGTCAAATCTTAACTCTGGAACCAATTAATGGAAACAAAATGAAATTTCACTTTAAGCAATTTTTTTTTTTTACAGTTTCAAAATTGTAAGCAATATATTTTCTTGTATTTACAAACAGATTAATAAACTCATCACTTGATCGACAAATACAATTCCCAAACAAAGTGGTAAATATAGATTCATACATGCAGGTGAAGAGCAAAATCAATTTAAGAAAGGTAAAGCTGATGCACAAAGTAATCACATATCAAGAATATTAGCAACAACAGATGTTTCCACCATTACATCTCAAAAGCACTTCATGGTGTTTGTAGCCATGCTGTCAGCACTGATATGGGACAGAAATGTTCATCTATTGATCTCTTTGGCCCCACTCTAATGTTTCCAGAGCTATTTGGATTTCCATTCAATATTGCAGGCTAATGTTAATTCTCCTCTTGGTTTTTGTATCTAGCTCCATTTGGTCACAGTTCATGATGCATCTATAATAAAATATCTATCAAATTAAAATGACTGTCTTCATTGTCTGCTTCTGTTCAGCTCGAATAGCCTTTTAACTAAAAACTAAAAGCTGGTTGCTTAAGTCAGCTTACATGACGTGACAATGTCTATGGAAGCACAATTGGGCATGACAGAAGGTTTTTGTTGTTCCCTCCAAAATTGCATCCATTGAAAGTGTAGCCTAACAATGCATCAGGTCATCTGTGCCTTCACTCTCCACTGAGTTGTAAAGTAGTCACCATGTTTCTTTGTGATTTCCGGTTAATTTGTGCTGCCACAGGTGAAGCTAATTAGGCACATGTTACGGTGGAAACATTTTCTAATTACAAAAAAAAAGTAAGTCAGTTTAAAACATTCAAAAGGTATCACACTACAAATGAAAACACAACATACAGCATCACGAGAAATCGAAAACACACATGACAGCTTTGGACTGGTCGCAAAAAAAAAAAAACGTATCACTGTAGAACTTTTCGTTGATTTTGTTGTTTCTACACACACTTCTGTCATTGCTACACAAGTTAAATTATAGACACATTCACTCACCTGGCAGCCCAAGCTCATCTTCTCCATCCTCAAACTTTATGTCCGCGTGGAGAAACAAAAAAACACAACTACGACCGCTTCTTCTTCTTCTCAGCGGGGTAAAGACTGTAGGATCTTAAAAAGTAAGACATTGGCGCTCCAAGCATGGCAGCTGGGGAAACACGACCAGAAATGAAGTGCTGGTCGTTCACATCGAGCTCAGACCAAAATTCAAAGTGACCTCGCAAAAGTAGATCCACCGATACTCCTGTTCTGTGTCGACAGGTTTCGAAAGGAGGAGAAAGTTGGCGTGTACTCCGCCCCCCTCTAAGAAGGACTGGGGTCTTCACTATAACAACACCACACATGTAGGGCGGGTGTTTGAAGGTATCAGTGGGTATCTGAAGTCAAGTTAGCCAAATGTGTTGTTAGTTACTTTACCTTTTTTACATTTGTTTTCATGTTTAGTAAATGTGAGGTGTCTGAAATATCTGGGACAAAGATCAGCGCTGCACCCCTTAGGCTACAATGTGTGAGACAAGATCTGGGGAGTGTTTGTATCTGAGACCTGTAGGCTATTGGAGCCCCCACAGTGGAATGTAGGAATTAGGGCCCTGTCTTCAGAGAATTGCCATATATGGAAAAACAAGAATCAGATGTTCTCATGTTGTTGTGTGAAATTGAAAAAGTTTTGAAAAGTAGGAAGCTATGGTCAGGACTTTACACTTTATATCAAGTTGAAAAATCAGGAGTTTATCACCAAAACAAAAACAGAAAGTTCTGAGTTTGACTAAATTTAGTTGATGCAATAAAGGTAAAGTTTCTAAAAACAAATAGAGACAATTAACAAATTCACGTACAAAAAAGGCAAAGGTCGTATCTTAAGGTCAGGTCATTTAATCAGATTTTTATAATCAATAAGCCCCAGTATTCTCCTGAATGAAAAAACATATTCACACGCTCTTTTACTCTCTTTTTCTCGCACATAAAAACACAAACACACACACACACACACACACATGCATGCATACACGCACACACGCACACACTCTGTCTTAGACTGCTATCATGTGCGGACATTTGGATGAGGACAAAAACAACCCGTTGAATACCTTGTTGACCAACAGAAAAATACAAGAATTGAAATCCCCCAAAAAATGTTAGGACTTTTGACCTCTCAGTGTTGTTATGGATGACTTGAACAGCAGGAAACACAGAAGGAATCCTAATGTTTAAAAGTAAAACAGTGAATGGTGTAAAGTAAACTAGCAACTATGTGCTGAAATCCTGTTCTTACTTCCTTTGTAACAATTTTTCATCACTACATGTGATGTAACTCTGGGTAGCTATGACCTCCACCACAGTGTATAACAGTGTAGGATGACCGACGTGTTGCTCCTGGGAGACTGTCAATGGAAGCTGACACACACTTCATAAAAACAAAAACATGTACAGCTATAAAAATCTTAACAAAAACAAATTCATAAAAGAGTGTTTGGAGAGAGTGAGGCCTTTTTTGTTTTCTCTCACAGGAGTGGTGCTTCTGTACCCTTCAAAAAATAACAATATTTTAAAAAAAACCCCACATAAAACAAGACATGAACTTTAAAGGACAGGAGATACAAACATTTTAAGTCATTCACTGTCATGTAAGTCCTTAAACGAGGTGTTCACTTTTCCAATTTTTTGCCCAAAAAAATAATCCTATTTTCTCTTTCTTGGCTTTTTTTTGGACAGAGCATCCTTTCACCATCATCTAAGTCTTGGAGTTAAAAAAAAAATCTCTTGGCACATTTCTCACTCCACACTTACTTTACACATTTAATATCCTTTTCTGCTCTACCCCCACCCCCCCCCCCCCACCCCACCATTGAACCTGCGGCCTACACCATGATCTGAATGTTTCACTCAGTCCCGTCATAGCTCGTCATGGGTGGATTCATCTGCTTTAAGCTTGAACTCTGCCTCTGTGATCTTTCCGTCACCGTTTCGATCCTGATTGGAGAACATGTTGTCAATGATGCGATAAGGGTCAAAGCCAGGAGCCAGGCGGCCTTTTCCCTCATTCACCTGTCGCATGATGTAGTCAGTAAACTGTGGAAACAAAAGGACTGGGTATCAAACATGTACATTTAGCAGGGATGGATCAAGAGGATGACCAGGGGTACATATCCTAGCAACCCTTTAAATCTCATTGGCCACCCAAAAATCCTAATCTGTGATTGGCTCTTTGCATTGTCAAAGCCAGTACTTCAGCTGTGTTTCAGACTGCTAGTTCTTGCATTTCCATGTGGCCCATTTCCTTTCGTTAGTGCTTTAAACTCCTAAAGGATTCTTCTTTTGAGTCCTTGACGCTTAGAATATTCTTATGTTGCAACTCTGCTGTGGTATTTGTTAGTAAAAAAAATAAAAAATAAACACAGAATAAATCACTTTTAGTTAATGGAGATAGAAATGGTTAATAATTTATATTAATTTGTGTGTGTCTTTACACAAACGTCATCCCACCCCTGCATTAGTCAGTGCCTCAGTTGGGCCACCCCAATCAAAAAAAAGTCTAAATCCGCCCCTGACATAAGGGTTATTATCACATACCTCAGAGGGCTCCACCAGCTTGTTCTCGTCCATGTCCATCTCAGCAAAGAGGTCAGGTGACACGTCATCGTTCCAGATGAACATGTAGCCTTCAGGAAGTCCTTCCTCCATGTCTACAAGCTCGATGTCGAACACCATCACAGCACTGCCTGGAACTTCGTCAGCTACAAATCACACACACACACACACACACAGCTTTAGAAGTAGCCGCAAACTAGTGTAATGCATATTTTACATGAATGTTCTCTTTCACCATGTAGATGAGTTTGTGTTCCTCTAAACCACATTCCTGATCTCTCTGACCTTCTCTACAATGTTTACAAGTTATCAGACGTTTTTTCTACTTAGTATTTTCGACCAAGCGAAAGGTGCCCGGCGTGACACCCTTATTTAAATGCTTATTGTAGAATGATTACACTGTAAACTTAACCAGTTGCATTTTTTATGTGTTATGCCTTTACAGACACTAAACATGTCTTACATTGGGGAGGCTCTGCAGAGCATTCCTCAAAATATACTGTCCTAGTGTCTGGCTTTTTCAACCTCCACTACATTAAGTTTACCTCATTATTACGGCACAACTTTTTGTGTGTGTGTGTTTGCGTGTCACTTACTGACTCCTCTCTCCCCATAGCCCAAATGGGGAGGAATTACTAGGTGCCTCTTCTCTCCCACACACATCTCCATCAGCCCATCCTCCATCCCAGGGACCACCTGGTTGGCTCCCAGTACAATGTTGTATGTTTTCCCATAATTGTACCTGAAACAAATAGAGTCAACGTTGAGTATCTAATGGCTCTACATGCATTTGTTGCCAAAGTACAGTCATCTATAACGAACCATTTTATGCCGTCTTATAGTGGTGGGCGATATAACGATCTTAGATCGTGAAGGATTTTAACGTGCTGATGACCTTAGAACCGTAGAACCGAGCTAATGTGTTTCATCTATCATGCTGCAGTTTATGCTCCGACACAGATGCGTCTCTCCCCCCCTTTCCTTTTTTGCTCCGCAGTGGTGAAAACAAATCTTGAAGTGTCTTAAATATCTAGGACAGAGATAATATACTACTCCTTTAAGTTGTATAACGCACACATCTGGAAAGAATTTGTATCTGAGGTGATATAGGAGTCCCCTCCAGTTGAATGTTTGCCCTGATGTGTTGTTCCTTGAGTTGCCCGGAAAATTCCTAAATCTAAGACAAGATCCCCCACAGTGGAATGTATACAATAGGGCCCCAAATAGTGAGAGTGAGTAACCATGGTGACTGTCAATGTCCCGCCCCCTCTATGAATTAAACTCTTCTGTCAGTAAAACTTACTTTGATCATGTGTCGCAGAATGAACACATCCTGTATCATGTTTGATTATATATAAACAAAACTAAATGATGTCATAAAAACAACAAAGGCTGCAGAGCCTGTATGAAGCTACAGCTGTAGAAACTCTACAGGGCTAAAATAGAACAGAAACACAAGAACTCGAAGTCTACATGTTTTTAAATGAATGCATCACTGCGTGAAAATGTTCCTGATGAACATAAAAAGAGGACACATAACTAAATCATAATTTCAAAGTGGTGAGGAAAACCTTCAAATTGTTCATAAATATTGATCAAATTGAGTGAAAGACATTTCTGTTGCTAAAGATGTTCTGGGTGAGAGACCTCCAGACCTCCTACAAAGATGTTTTTCAAATAGATTAAACTTGTCAGTGCAGTTTTTGTGCATTTAAAAACATTATACAGGGAAATAAGTTTGGTTGAACTGGTCAGTAACTTACAAATTTGTCTAAAGAACAGTATGAAAAAAATCGTGATAAAATCATGATCGTGATTGAAGTGTCTGACGTAACTAGGACAGAGATAATATACTGCTCCTTTAAGTTTATAACATGCACATCTGGAGATAGTATCTGAAGGAGATTTAGGAGTCCCCTCAAGTGGAATGTTTACATTGAGGTGTTGTGTAGGAGTATTGCCATATATGGATGTGTTACTTGATGTTTTTATGACCCATGACGAAAAGCAGATGTTTAGATGCATATAGGCGATTGTCTCTGTGTGTTCGGGAGAGATCATTATTGGCTTCTTGATCCTCCTGGTCAGACGTGACCAGTGACTCTGTTTCTTGCTTAAATAAAATTATACTCTTTGAAAGCAAGTCAGTCTCAACGGCGAATTTCTTCATCATCAAACATATCAACAACAAGGAAATCCACATCATGATCTTGCCAAAAAAAAAAATCGTGATATGATATTTTTCCCATATCGCCCACCTGTGCTGGTATAACACGTGTAAGAAAACATATCTATTCTCTTTGATTTTGAAACACATCTGTATGATGATAATCTACAGTATATCATACTCATACTATGCTAAAAGTATGCACGCACATTCAAAAACTGAAAATGAGAGTTTACTTATTCCAACAAAATAGAGGCCTACATTTTTTTTTTTTTTAAATACAGTCAGGAAGAGACTTGAATAACTGTATTGTTGTCATGACAACTACTATAGTACAACAGTAGTAAATGATGTATGTTTACCTCCTTAAAGCTATAAGTTGACATGGTTAATGTATGTTCCAAAGTAAATAGCAAAACAACAAAGAATGATAAAATTACAAAATACTCTTTCTTTGGTTTGACAAAATTGTCTTGTAAATCTTTATGGAAGGGATCTTATGGGTCTTTTCAGCACAATATTGTGTTCAATGCCAGATGGCATCAAGGCTTTAAGAAGAATGCATATCCTATTATTTCAAATGGTTGAATATGGCCCAAGTTCACTCCTATATACGTACAAATTGAGACTAATGTCAGATAAATTAACGTCTATCAATCATGACCTCTTCAGCAGAAGATTACATGCATGTTAACAACACTAATTCTAAAACAACGATAAAACGACACCCATCCTTCTTGTACTGCTGACAACACAGGACTTGTAATATTTCACCTGGCACAGTGTGCTCATGCAGTTTAGAATTATCTCTTTTAACTGTGTTAACTTTTTTAACATCCAGCCAGTGTGTGGAGACCTGCAGTGTCAGATTTTAAAATGCTACAAGGAGAACACAGGAAAGACTCTGTCCTGCTCCAGCATCGCCTCAGCCTACATGCAGTGTGTGGACAACGGCAAGAAGAACAAATTGAGCCCTGGAGGTTAACACCACTGGATGAGGAACGTGAGCATCTGAAAGCTTTACTGTTTCCACTTTAGCCTTTACTGGAAGAAATGGTGCCATAAAACACTCACACTGGTCTGGGAATGATGTCACAAACATTAGCAGCTTGGTCTCCAGCTTTGGTGCCTTGTTTGCATCCTCTCTGGTTCTTGGGATCATTTGTAAACCAAATTTGCTCCGACACTGATAGATGGATCATTGCATTTTAAGAGCTTGTGTTTGTCAAAAAAAAGGAAAAAGTGCTGAAGATTAGGGTTTGTTGGTTGAATTATGTGTATATATTATACTATATTATTATCTGATGTACGTCGCTTTGGATAAAAGCGTCTGCTAAGTGAATTGTAGAATTGTAGAATCTCTTCCTAGCTTGCACAGTTTGTTTTAGAAGTTTTGTCTGTCCCAGGAGGCCTTGAAGTGTCTCACACAGGTTTACTCACGTGGAGTCGATGGAAGTGCCGTCCAATAGAGAAGCGTTGTAGTGGTATTTGATGAAGTCTCCCTTTTTGGTTTGCTTGTCACATTCCTCTGGTTTGTAGGTGACAGCGACCTCAGTGCTGTCTGACGGGTTGTGAAAGTCGATGATGTGGATGTCGAACACAAGCACAGCTGAACCAGGGATTTTTGAGCCTGGAAAGCAAAAATAACGTATTTATACAGAATAAAGATGAGACACAATTCTGTGACCGAGGAAAGGGTACCAGAGCATTAGTCACACACCTGTACCCTCCTCTCCATAGGCCAGATGTGGTGGGATGGTGATGGTGCGTTTCTCTCCTACACAGACTCCAATCAGACCCTCATCCATGCCGGCAATCACGTAGCCTCGTCCCACATAGGTGTCATAGGTACGATTACGGGAGTAACTGTGGTACATGAATTCAAGCAAAAGTGTTATTACACTGCCATAGAGAAAAAACAAATCAAGGCTAATCTAGGAACTTTATATGTAGTTTTTCTTTGAGTAGATACAGAATTCACTCTGAACAACACTACTGACACACCTTACTACCATGGTAGACATGTAAACTCTTGTAATGTTTGTTTTTAATGTGCCAGTGTGTTTGTTTTTAATGTATTCCAGTCCACACATTAGCCTCTTCATCATTGACCTACAGTACATCATTACTCCAGACCAGGAGGAGCACCCTAACCCGTTGTGTAAAGAACTAAGGCAAACAACCTTTTCTCAGTTATCCTGGTATCAAAAGTCTCTCAAGAAAAGAAAAAAAGAAAAATTGGGTTCAGATAAAGTGGTACCCTCCCAAAAAACAACAGATTTAATCGCAGCAAGCAGTTTTTTTTTTTTTTTTTGGTATGATGCACTGATTACATTACAAAGTACAAGCACTAGTCAGGAGTTGTGTAGCAAGAAGTAGAGTGTGTGTCGAGTCCTTGAGGTCCAGTACAGAATGTGAATAATGAATGAGTTGAACAAGGCTACAATACATAAGAGGTAAGTTGTGTAGGCTGGACTGGTTAAAGGGTAAAACGTGTATGAACACCACCTTCAGAAATCTTTTTAAAAAGTGAACTGAAACTTTCAATACAGAGATATTTTAAAGCTGTAATTAAAGGCAAAACAACTACTTTGCATGTATGTATTTGCTTGCAGTATTTGTTCCCACCTGGAAAGTTATATATGAAAGTCTAGACTCTACTGCATAATATGTTACAGTGAGTAAAAATGTAATTCAGGATTGCAAATGTTCAGATAGTTGTAGGAGTTTTCATATTTGTCTTAAAAGGGAGACCCTGAATTCATTATGTTTATTAAAGATCTCTATTTGATGTTTTTATAGGAACATAGTGTCCACCATGTATAGTCTATGGTGTCAACATGACCCGCTCACCAGACTTATAAAGAAGTCATGATGCTCTCTTTAAGGTTACAAGGCATGTGCAATAGCAGGTGGATGTTGTTTTGGTGTAGTCTTAATGAGATATTTGCTGTCAGAGCTCACCAGGAAAACTGGTAAATTACTCATTTGGTTCAGTTTCAACTCAAAGAAATCTATTTATTTTCACCAAGTAGATTCCCTTTATTATTGTTGAGGTTCGAAACCAATCTGAGGCAAACCTGAGGCAAACCTCAAACGAATCTACCTCTAAAGTCATCTCCAACATTGATTCTTACACAATCGACAACCAGTTGAAGACTGTAAGTTAGAGCTGGTTCATAGCTGCAGCTGTATGTATCTCTGCAACCACTGCAGGAAATGTGCTGAACTTCAGTTAGTGCATTAACGCAAGCTGTGGTTTACACATCTGGTTGGAGGGAAACTCCCACACTCAAAGCCTTTTCATCAGAAACAATCCGCCTTCTTTGTTTGAGGTAAGAAACAAATCTGAATGTTATCTGTCAGAGCTTCAATTTGTAACTTGTGTAGTTTGTAGGTCTTTGATCAGGAGATATCCTTATGTCAAAGTAGGCTTAGAAATACTTTTTTCCCTTTGAGATGTAATTAAATATTGAGCAATTTCCTTTTTCCATTTCCTTATTTTCAAAAGATTGATTTGAGAACCTCTTCTTAGATTTAAAGCCATAAACGCTATCTACCTGTCACTGTGAGTAAAGCACAAAGCACAAATACAGGTAATGAAATTTTTACAAAATGTAAACAGGAAATTCATTGTGGTTTTAAAGTTTTGATTCCTCTCTGTGTGTCCTCAGCGCAGAAGAGAGATGCCACCACCTGGAGGACACTTGAGGAACAACAGACTTCCTCTTGAATCTAAAGCTGTACTGAGTCTTTCTGTGTGTTTAACAGGAAGAAAATCAAACACTGTCACACACCTGGAGTCAAAGAAGGTTCCATCGAGGAGGCTGCCGTTGTAGTGGTAGCGTACAAAGTCTCCAGTGACCGTCTTCCTCGTGCAGGACTCGGGCACCTTCTGATTCGTCACTGTGATCCCATCTCTGGGGTTGTGGAGGTCCAGAAGTACAACGTCGAACACCAGAGACGCCTGTCCTGGGATGTCGCTACCTGAAGCAGAGAAAAGGAAGACATGTTGAAGTCAACAAGGAGTCAAGTATGGGTTTAGATTAAAGGAGAGGTGTATTGCTAATAATGTATTATGAAGCCAAAAAATTATGCTACTGCCCTAACTTGATTAGTTAGCTTAGCACAAACACTGGATTTAGCTAACCTGACATTGTCCAAAGGTTACAAACCACATCAACCAGCATCTGTGAAGGTCATTTAGAGTTATAACTGCATCTGCATGAAGTTAAGGACCACTGCTCAGATACCGAACAGTCACTTCCCAACTTAAAAAATAGTCCCAAAGTAAAACAGAAAATCCCCATTTTTGCACTTATGGCTTTGTACAGATCTGTGCAACTTTTATGCACCCCCTATAGAGGATGTTTGAACACCTACTTTGACATATGCAACCAAACATCTTAATTAGCGTTAGCATGTTTGTAACAAGAAAGCAAGGCTAGCTGTTTCCCTCTGTTTCAAACGTCTGTGCTAATCCAGGCTAACATGCTGCAAACAAGAACAAGAACAAATGTTTTCCCAAATTTTGAACTATTGTTTTAAACAATTCATGCAACCATTTAAAAAGCCTCTTCTACATTTAATTTCTGGGATTTTTAAGTCCCTGGTGTTTAGGAAGCAATTTAGAGAAGACTCTACTTTTTACCTACTGTTTTAACCTAAAATTGTATTGCCTTCTTTTTAGAATTTGTTATTATCTTGTGAAATGTTTTAAATGCTTTTTGTGCCCAGGTGAACCTCTTTGAATTGCCTGGTGTCTGAAAGGTGCTATATAAATAAACGCTTCCCTTGCCTAAACTACCTGTCACTTTATTTAGCCTAGAAACGCCAAAGTATATTCAGCGGCAAGGAACCAAGAAAACGATATTCATCAAAGTTTCTTCACATGCAGTTTTTTCACAGGATTTGTTCAGGGTTGGGGTTTAAAGAAGTCAATGTTCCAAGTCTGAATAAAACAAGGTGAGATGTATAGTAAAACTGCATGAGTGTAAATACTGCCACCCTGTGCCCTAAGTGTGCATTGCAGCACTTGTTGCTTTCCATTGCATTTCTCAATCTGTTTTTTATTCCCAATGGAGGGAAAACTTATGTGAAAAAACATTAACAACTCACCATCTCCATTCTCTCCATATCCAAGTGATGGTGGCATAGTAATGATGCGCTTCTCCCCAACACACATTCCCAGGAGACCCTGATCCATACCCGCAATCAGCCAACCAATCCCGACATATGTGTCATAGGTACGCATACGGGTATGGCTGTAGGAAAGGATGGAGGAGGGAGGTTACAGATGGTGTGAGGCATTTTTTGTTTGTGAATGAGGGATTCTTACAAAAACACAAACCTGGAATCAAAGAGCGTCCCGTCCAGCAGGGTGCCATTGTAGTGATAGCGGACATAGTCAGAAACCTCCACCTTTCTGGAGCAGACTGAGGGCGTGTGGTAAGTGTTGATTTGGACGCCATCCTCCGGGTTCCACACGTCGAGCAGCAGGACGTCAAAATGGAGGATGGAGTCAGGAGGGATGATGTCACCTAAAGAGGAGAGAAAGGAAAAACATCACTCTCTTGTAAACAGTCCATCTGACCTGCAGTCTAGAGAAATATAAACAGAGAGAATCAATAATTCAATCTTAATGGAGTGCCTGTAAATTAGCACGCCTGCTTACTATTGATAAATTCTTCCTGACTGTTTTGAGTTCCTGGTAGGTATTGGTTCTTTGATTAATGGGGTTTTTCATACTGTAATTATATTAATTAAAATGTGTTATTGGAAAGATGTAATAAGTTCATTAATAAAATAACGTGTTTACATAAGTCTCAGAGCTCCCCAAAGCTTGTCTGTGACATTTCTTGCCAAAAAAATCCAATCTGATCCTGCTCACAACAATGTAGGTGAGCTGTGTTCAACCCCCCCCCCCCCCGGAAGGGCTTAAGTGGCTTGGGCTTTCTTGCACCATGTCCTATTGTTTACAGTGAGCAGACTCACAGGGCAGAACAAACACCTAGCTGTGGGAGTGTCACAAACATGGGGGAGGGGTTACTGCCCTTTGTGATGTCATAAAGGGAAAATCTCCTAACAGCCAGTTTGAGCACACATAGATAGGATGGAATAGAGGATGGAATTTTCTCGTAATTGGGGGGTTTGTAGACAGATAAGGGACACATATTAGTGTCTGAAAAAAAGATGGTAATGTGTATTTTTGCACAATATGTGGCCTTTAAATCACGTACAGATTGCTAGATTAAAATACTTAGCTAGACCCGTGTCTGATACTTAAAAAAACAAAACAAATCTCTGCACTCACTTGTTAGCAAAATATCTTTTGGTTTTGGATTGTTGGTCTGGTCTAACAGAAGAGGAAATGTGATCATATTTGCTTGTGTTCTTTAATTGTATATTTGAATTGGATACATTTCTACATTTTCTGATGTTTAGTTACCAAGTGAATAATTGGAATATTTTTTTTTCTGTGAATTAACCTGTTATGAAAACAAACAACAGTTAAAGCCACAGCAATAAGTGTGTAATGTACTAAGTGAACACCTCTTCATGTAAAAACAAGAGACAGATTTGCTGCTTCTGACATGAATGAGGTGTCCTCAGTGCCAGCTCTAGCCTCCTCTGACCGGCATGTAATGTTAAATCTCTAAAGCTTCTAATTTTAGAGTGCTCAACAACCTGATGTTTGCAAATATGAGCATGAGTCACTCATTACTCACTCACTACCTCTGTCAATAAAATGGTTAAAACAGTGATCTCTCACTGCTGGTATGCCTGTGGAGTTGCCTGTTCGCTCAACGAGAGTTCAGACAACAAAGAAAAGGAGGAGAAGGTGAAGGAAAGGAGATGAGAGGCGAGGAAAAGCAGGACTGGATGGATGGGTGGCAGCCATTAAGTCCTAGCTACTGATGAGCTGGTGGGTCTCTTCCTGGTTTTAATCTGCATTCCCCAAAGTCCTGCTCTTCTGTGTTTTCTTCTTTCCCTCTGATAGCACAGGCTTCAACTTTTACCTGTCCACACATGCAGCCCCCTCCCCCCTTTCTCTCCCATTTTCCAACTATTTAACACACACACACACACACACGCACACATACTTACAATAACACAATTCTTTTTCTTATCAGTAAAATAAAATGCATTTTTGTCAACACTGTATGACACAAATACCCTCTACAGTGGACCGCAGACTAGTATGAATAAGATTTAAAAGGTTGAGTATCCTGCAGCTGATGCTCTAATAATCATAATAATACTATAGAAGCTGAAACCTTGATCCAGAATGTTTTTCTCTGACTTGCTTCCTGGTTTGTGATGTCCCTCTGACATCATTCAACATGGACGCCTTGGTGCAGCCCACTTCCTCTCTGCTCTGGTTGACTCCAGAACAACACAATACTCTTGTGGGACTCTCTTCTTTTTGCCGCATGTTCTTCAGCCAATGTGCAAACAAATTCTCTGAGTGTTATGTGGAGATGTGCCAGCTGTGTGCTCACTCGTCTGTGGGTTTATAATCACTCGCTGGAGGAATAAACACCGGCATGTCCTCAAATCTAATATAGAACTTGTTGTTTTCTATCCTGACTGTTTCTTTACAACAAATCAGTAAAATTACGACAAACAAGGGGTACAATTTTTTTATATACACACCGTATCCTCGTGATCCGTAGGCCAGATGAGGTGGGATCTTGACCAGACGTCTCTCGTTGACACACATCCCCACCAGAGCTTTGTCCATCCCTTCGATCAGCTGCTTCTTGCCCACAAACACGTTGTAGGAGCTGCCACGGTCGTAACTGAAACAGATAAACCACAGTTAAACTTTTCAAGTTACTTTGACAACTCATTAAGAAAAACCCTCATACAGCAGTCACTGATTAGGGCTCTGGACTGTGGGAAGGCACAAACTCTTGCTCAGATGTGTCATGCTAATCACACATTTTAGTATATTAAAGACCTTTGCTAGAAGCTTATTGATATAGCATATTGAAGTTGATTACAAATTTCCACTTGACTATACACCCAAAACATCAAGAAGTGCACAGTGGACCTGTGGCTTTTGGGGCCCCTGGGGGTCTAGGGAGCATGGGTGCATGGGAAGTTGTCCATAAGCAAGGTGCACTGGGCCTATAGGTCAATCTAGGGCAAGGGTTCTCTTAAGGTGAATTTAAGAGATTCTAAATGAATCACTACAACTTGGTCCACTGGAGTTTTCAAAACATTTTTCAAATGGGAAAAAAAAATATTAAAAGTTGACAAAACTCAGTCTGTTTTAATGGGTGTTTTTTTGTTTGGTTGTTATTATTCATAATAGCATGTCAAAGTTTTGGAGAACTTAAGAGTAAGGATAAATGGATCCAGAGCTCAGCCGTGCCTGCGTGGCTCCCCGCTTAACGCGCACTTTTACGCATCACGCACGCTGTTTGCACTGTTCGAACCTGATCAGCTCTGCACGGTGACACTAAGAGTAATACAATAGACCATTCTTTGCTTGATACTCACCTGGAGTCGAACTTCTTGCCGTCCGGAAACACGCCATTGTAGTGATACCTAACATAATCCCCGACTTTAACTGCGCGTACACACTGCTCCGGCACGAACGTTTTCTCAATGAAGATGTCGTCTAACGGTACCGGGGGAGCGTTGCAGGCGGCAAACGCCACCAGAACAGAGAGAAATAACATCAACTGCATGCACTGGATCATTTTCACTACCTGATGAAAGATTAAAACGATACTGATAACTGTAGGCTCGGCCTCTGGGTATGTACGCGCTGGCTCCCTGTTCCCTGTTAGTTTGGTTTCCTCTGACTTGGATAAAAGTCCTGCCCCCCCTGTCCCAGTGCAGGAACGTCAAGCGACACAAAATAAGCACAACATCCTGTTAAACTTTAGATGACACCTCAGCTAATGCCCTTAATTAAAAAGCTTGACCTATGCAACTTAAATGAATAAGAACTGCGATGCATGTTCCAATGTTGTATGTGACGCAGATAAAATATAAAGACAAATTAAGAAGCCAAATGTGGTTTTATTTTGAAACAGCAGACTAGCTTCCTTGACCTGAGACGCGTCATTCCAGCTGCCTTTACTCATTTTCGGATTGAATGGGATAGTTTTGGGCACCACGTATTGCTCTTGCGCAGTGCAGCCTCTGTAGATATGTGTCAACGTGGTAACATAGGGGTCTCCACACAGCTGCAGACACATCCCCCCCCCTCCTCTGGATACATTTAAACTAGAGTAATGCACAACAGACATGATGCACTCAATGCTGCGGACTTTAATGATGTCACATGAGGACACACGTTTTTCTCTAACATGACGCTTTGCAGTGGTCTTGTTGGGTTGGGGGGGATTCGGGCCCTTTTCTTTAGAGGGTGCACACCATGCAGGCAGGAATGTTCTACGTGGCAGTGGGAGGAGGGGGAGGGACGCTCAACTCTCGCCCGGAGAAATCAGTGGCTGTTAGGGAACAAGTTAAAGTTATTTCATGAAACAGCGTGCTCTTTTTTATTCTTAAAATCAAAAAAAAAAAAAATCAACTAGGCCTACATTTTACACTACGTCTATCAAAGTGAACGATTATTTCCCCGAGTCATGTTCAAGGGTTGTAAAAAGTCTTATCTCTGTTACATCTAGGCCCTATTGTAACAAGACAGAAGAACAAGCAGTGATTTACTTGTGTGATTTTGTGGGAGGAGCAGCTCCAGCAGCCCACGCCCGCTGCTGAGTCTGTGCCCGGGGGAGGGGAACTTTTGTCCGGATACGTGGTGGAACTTGAGGCGGTCCTATGACACCAACGAAACACCTCCGGGGTCCTGGATCATCCCCAACCAGCACAGCCCTCCTCCACCAGATACCAAACCTTCTTTTAAAAAATGGCACCCTCCACTTCTTCACAACTCCTCTCTGCGCTTTTAATCGCGTTTTCCGCCTCCGTGGTGAACTCCCAGTATGAGAAATACAGCTTCAGGAGCTTCCCGAGGAACGAGCTGATGCCTCTGGAGTCCGCGTACAAATACGCTCTGGACCAGTACACCGGGGAGAAGTGGAAAGAGACAGTGGACTACATGGAGGTGTCTCTGCGGCTCTACAGGCTGCTCCGGGACAGCGAGGCCTTCTGTAACCTCAACTGCAGCTCGGTGAGGCTGGACGACGAGCAAAAGTTTGCAGAGTTTCCCGAGCTGCGGGCGTTTGGGAACGTGATGAAGAGGGCGCAGTGCCTGAAGCGCTGCAAACAGGGACTGCCCGCTTTCAGGCAAACCATGCCCAGCAGGGACACCATAGAGGAGTTTGAAAGGAGAGAGCCGTACAAATACCTGCAGTACGCATATTTCAAAGTAAGCAAAATGTGTTGATTGTTTGAGAACCAGGATGACTCCTATAGCTGTCTACTTGTAAGGATTATCAATAAGCTGTAATGTTTTTTTTTACTGAATTGTCAATGTGGACACGAGTGCATCCGCAGTTTCTTGTTTCACATCACTAATAACAACCTTGAAATACGTCCTGACGTCACGTATACGTGCCACGGATGCACAGGGGGCTAAGAGACTTCCAGAAAGAAGTTTCTCACAGTCCAACATTTCCACGTATTTTTTTTTATTTTTCCTTTCAAGAGAACACTTATACAGACACATTAGGGTGTCAGAGCTGGTCATCATCAGCTTCTTAATGGATGACTGCAGGAACTGGTTTACACTTATGTTATGTTAAACACAGTTCACTTAGGGTCAAAGGGAGGAACTAGAGCTGCTGTGGTTAATTTACACATGCATAATTGCAAGGTGGTGTAATAATATAAAGACCAAAAATGTAGAAAATAAGTTTTGAAACAACACAATTAAGTCTCTGCATACATCAGAAGTCCCCAAATTAAACATTCACGGGAGAGACCGCTTTCTCCACCAACACATGGAAACACACAATGAGGAAATCTGTTTCACTGAAGGTGCTCTTTCAGAGATAAAAACACCAATACAATCTCTGCCGCATGACATTGCAGCTAATCTGTAATGCTATTGGGGTAAGTGTACATTTGAGGTAATGTATTTTAACAGCATGGCTTCTGTACTGTCTCCACAAGTTCTGTTAACTGCAACATCAGTCCCAGTTCCCAAAATATGTGTTTATAATTTACACAACGTCCAAACTATTTTAAATTTGGGGTACTACAACGGGTCTCCAGCAACCAGCAGCAAGCACCTGTTGGCTTGATTTTTCTGGTATGACTTTATTATATCTGCACAAGTACCTTATAACTCTGGAGCAGCTTTGTGGTATGATAAAATAAGCATACTTCAGTTGTTCAGGAATGATTTATCTTGGTTATCTGCATTATTTCATGTAATATAAAGCAAAAAGAAAGAAACATGGTTTCAACACCTGATTATGTTACTTTCCTTCCAGTCTGACAACCTGGCCAAAGCTGTGTCTGCAGCTCACACCTTCCTGCTGAAGCACCCGGATGACGAGATGATGCAGAGGAACATGGCCTACTACAAGAGTATGCCCGGAGCCGAAGACCACCTCAAAGACCTTGAGACCAAATCCTATGAGGTACACACACACACGCACACATACAACACGAACACTTAAACACACACAAACACCAACACAGGAACACATTCTTTTTGGTTCTCAACCTAGAGGCACAGAGAGGAGTTCACATGATGTATAGTTTGAATGAAAGAGTCCCACCCATACGCAGGATATTGTGAAAATACACACACACACACAGCTATTATTGGCTCCTTGGGTTTTGTTGATGTGGTAGCAGCCTGTGGTGAACCGGCCAAGCTCAAGCTGGCAGTATGGGAACAGTCATTTACAGTCTCAAGGGGTTCCCAAATTGGGGTCTGTGGACCTTTTTTTTTTTTTTAGACGAATCAGAGCTGAAGAGACGTCAGGGGAAAATATTCTATGTTTTAACCCCATTATAAATGACGATTATGTCCGTTTTTTACAGCCTTGGCTTAGAGAAAATTTTATTTTTTCCAGCTTTTTAAAACTTTTAAAACTGAAACGACTAATAGACTTGAAATAGTTAAAGCTGTTGAAATAAAAACCTTGAATGAATCTCAATGTTGCTGATATAGCTCACAATATTGATACCGAATGTTAATATTTGCATTCTAGTGAGGATATCAATGACTTTGAGGGTGAATTGTATTTTCAACCCTGTAAAAATGTTTCCAAGACTGATTGGCATTGTCTGTGTGTCCGTTCTTGCAGACATTGTTTGTGCGTTCAGTCCGGGCGTATAATGGAGAAAACTTCCGTACGTCTGTGTCAGACATGGAGCTGGCTCTGCGGGACTTCTTCAAGGTGTACGATGAGTGTCTGGCTGCGTCCGAGGGCCCCAGAGATATCAAAGACTTTAAAGACTTCTACCCCTCCATAGCTGGTCAGTTCATAGCCTACCTGGTTCCTCCTCCATCCACTGCTGCTTCTGCATCTGTGTTATTGACCGACATGTTGCTTACTTTTGCTTTGGTTTCTTCCCTTCACAGATCACTACATCGAGGTACTGGACAGAAAAGTGAGGTGTGAGAGTGACCTGACCCCAGTCGTAGGGGGTTTTGTCGTCGAGAAGTTTGTAGCCACTATGTACCACTATCTTCAGTTCGCCTATTACAAATGTGAGCACATTTTTCTTTTTGCTGACACATGTTATCTGCAACTATCCACCATTCTGGTTTTATTATGAAACTAGAGAACTCTTGTCCCTTTGTGGCTTTTTAAGGTCTACTGTGATGTGACTTTCATCAATGGCGTCCTTAAATTCTGCCGTAATGTTTGTGTTTCAGTGAATGACCTGAAGAATGCAGTGCCATGTGCTGCCAGCTACATGCTCTTTGACCCCAGTGATGAAGTTATGAAGAATAACGTGGCATATTACAAGTTCCACAAAAGCCAGTGGGGGCTGATAGAGGAGGACTTCTTACCGAGACCTGTGAGACATATCAATGATTATAAACCTTACACACAAACTGAAGCACAAGTGGTTCCAGTTCAGAGTTTAAATCCAATATAGGCTAAAACAGTGACAATTATTACTCATACCCAGCCTTAAATACTTAAGTGCAAAAGGACTTTTTTGTGAATAGTTACATCTATTTAATCTCATTTGGAGTCTAATGGGAAGATCACAACCACTCTCATGTCTGTGTGGTACATTTTTACCTACAACAAGAAGCCTGTTAACTTAGCTTGGCAAAAGCCTCTGCTTTTGAAAAACTGTAGAAGGAGTATTTGCTGCTCTGCTCAAACTCACAGAGAAAAAAATAAGTATGAAAGTCTTGCCTAATCTGTTCTTAGGAAGGACCTGAAGCCACTTTCAAACTGTGCACTTTGGATTGATGGCGAGTGATCAACCTTGACACGAATCCCAGATAAAACAATACGTTTTTGTTTCTTACTTGGTTTCAAGTACAAATTAAAAAAAACTATACATAACATTGTAATGATAAGAGGCTGGTAGGCAGATCCAACTACATTTGGCAGCTCTAGCTGTTTCCCCCTGTTTCCTGCCTTAATGTTAAACTAAGCTAACTGGCTGCTGCATTTAATGCTTAACAATGAAGGTGTAGACGGTTAGCCTAGAATTGCTCTCAGTTCATTTCAGATTTTCTTGTAGCGTCATTACAGAGCACAGACCAAAAAGCCTCTGTAACCAATCAGAGCGAGCAGCAGTAGGCTCCGAGGTTAGGTAGCTATTTAACAAAATAAAGTCATGTGATTGCTAGTAGTCTACAATAAAATACACAATTGCTTGGCAAGAAGTAGCTAGCCTGGCTTGCTACGCTATGCTAATGACCGCTGGCTCCAAGTAGAGGTATCAAAACGCTCTGCAGGGAAGTGAACAAACATTTATTCTTGTAGAGACAAGTAGTTGTATTTTTATTGGGGTTAGGGGCCAATTTCTTCAAACGATGCAGACTAAATTTCGACAGTACCACATTTCCTGTGTTTTCTTCTAAGTTTTGCTAACTTGTGCATTACATTTAACAGAAATATATGAAAGTCCTGTAAATCTCAAAGAAAAAGCCTTTGTATGTTTTTTTCAGCTTAAAATTTCTGTATGTTTCACAAGGCTTAGCTGGCTTCAGCTTTTTCCTCTTGTTTGTGAACTGAGTAACTTTAACACAAAGTGTACTTGTCGTGTTTGTGTGTTCTGCAGGAGGCAGTGCGGTATTACAATCAGACCACGATGCAGCTACAGATGTTAGAGTTTTCCAAACTGCGCCTGGTGAGCGACGATGAGGTGAGTGCTTCTTCTTTTTTTTTTCTTTTTTTTTTTTACATATTTCTGTGTGTTGGTGCATCACAGGATGTTTCAAGCCAGAGGGTTATCTTTGTTCAAATGAATGGAATACAGTCCACCTTTGGGGGAAAAAAAAGAAGATCTTCACGATAGAGTTTGCGTATTGTTGTTTGTGTCTTTCAAAGGCTCTGTCCTTGTGTGATTTCTAGAAAAACCCTGTAGTCTTTGGTCTGTTCACATGATGATACCTGCAGTACAATGTCAGCCCTGATTATCAGACTGCAATATGAAAAACAGCCTTTAGATGGCAGCATGACACTATGTTTCTTTGAGTTATTATGATGCAGCACAAAGACCCTGGCCATAAGGGCAGCCCCACATTAAGCCAGGATTACATGTTGTTTTAGGTAAATACTATTTAGGTCTTCACTGTAATCTCTTTAGTAATGCTAGGTATGAGAGAAATCACAGATTGAACTGTGAGTGGGAGGATTTATACTAATTCACTGTGGGGGAAAAATGTAGCTGAAACAAAACAAACCCTCCCTGACTTGTTTTATTTTTCTGCAGGGAGAGGTGGTGGAGTTTATTGATGATTTCCTGGACGAAGATGATGATATTCCCATGTTGGAAAGTCCGCCGAAAAACTGAAAAACAATCAGAACACAACAGCACCAAAACTCCTTAAGTTTCTATTTATTGGTTTCAGATACGAGGCTCTGATAGGTCAATGTGTTTTGTTTTTTGTTTTACCTGAAAGATCCGCATCCTGAATGATATATATTGACATTTCTGATTTTGTGCACTAAACATCCAGTCGAGTGGTACAGACTATAAAACATGGTGGTTAAATGTTTTTTAAAAAGGTATGAGATTTTACTGTTTTATGAACCCATTGTTCTGCTGTGAATCATGTTTAATGTCTTTAAAAAATGTTAACTTTCACAATGACATTTTAATAAAACTGAAAGACAAACGGTAATATTTCAAATCATTGAGACACATGAAATATCAGTAAAAAAAACAAATACTATTATTAATTTACTGAAGCTAAATTAAATTTCTTGACGTCAGTTGTTCTGTCCAACCAGCCATCCAGAATGCAAACATTATCCATTTGATATCAAATAAAACCACAAAAACAGCAGCAAATCATCACAATTTCCACACTGAAACTATTAAATGTAAATGCTTCTGCTAAAACCCTTTTACTAATCGATACTTTTACTTTGTTTCAGTCCATTAGGAATGAGCAGTATGTTTGGAGGTCCAGTTACACAAACCCCGAGCTGTGCTGAGTAGTGAGACACCAGGGACACACCGAGTTGTTTAATAATGTTTGAACATTGAGTCTCTGTGCTGTTTGTCACACACTGCTGTTAAAAACCCACAGGGGAACATTCTCGCTCTATTACTGTTCGTCTATAACTCTGCGTTCTCATTCCTCTCCTGCCTGTATTTACCTGTCTCTTCTATTACTTCTACATCTAATCGGCACTTCGTCTTAGCTGCCCTTTTTGTCCCACTTCAAGGTTTTTGAAACGTATCACAAAAAAAGATGGGGAAATGGCTTTTGGCAGGGGCATGGTTAGTAGTTAAGATGAAGTTCTGGTCAAGACGATCCAAGGTCAGGTGTCAAAGTCACACTTAAATATTTGACACGTCATCTTTTTACAAACTTGCATAACAAATGGGAAACAATTGACTGGTCACATGGCTACTATTTTCATGCGATGTCACACTCAGACTGAAAAACTCAAATATGTCAAACTGCTGTGTTCCAGAGGGCAAATCGTAGAAATGTAAGGAAAAAATACAAATCATTATTACCTGACTGCATCCTGACAGTGAAGAGGGATTATTTGAAAGCACTTTAGGCCATGTTTCAAGATAAACAACAATAAAAGCCTTGCGCTTTCTTTTTGACAACACTTACATTGGCATATACCATCACCACTTTCTAGTTACCATCACTGTAAGATGGAATTATTGGACTTCCCTTTCATATAACACTATACAATGCCAATGCTAGCATTTAGCCACTTCATTGCCAAAGTAAAGATATGCTAGGTAGTGGTACTCAATGCTAATGTTAGCTCTCTATAGCCATAGCTAATTTGGCCAAATGTTCCTCCAGATTTTCCTGATAATCAACCGAGGAAGTATCGAAACAAACACAATTTTTCTAATGATGTCTTCATAAATGGCTTACAACCTAAAATAAAACAGTATGACAATACAATTTCAAAGTAAAAAAGCCACCATGTGAAAATGATCACATTACAGCATGTGTCGATGTGTTTCTTTCACCTCAATGGCTTAAAAATAGAAATAAAAAGTTAAGTGTTTAGGAGTTTATTTTGACTTGGAGGTCTCAGTACACATCTCATCCTGACATCACACACATCTGGCTGTCTCAAGAAACAAATGGAATAATATTAGCATCATGAGAACGATTTAGTATGTTATTTGTTGCTTGCTTTATTTTTAATTTGTCATAATTCATCTTGGTATTTTACCATTCATAGTGTTTATGATTACTCTACAGGCAACATGTGTTCAGACGTGATAATCTACAGTGAGGTATTTTTTTCAAACCGTCATAGCACTTCTTTTAACCAGCAATGTGTACTTGTAGGGGAAGGAAAAAAGTAGAAGTATTGATGAGCAGACCTTGTGTTGAACATTAAGAAGTAACCTCTAGTGACTTTGGCAAAGACAAACGAGCCAAACGTATTCGCTGAAACCAGTAATGCTGCAATATGCACATCAAGTTTTTGCAATTTCAAAATGACAGAAACAGACACAACAATATGGACATAAAAGATATCATAATAAAATATTGTCTGCAATTTTAAACAAATCAATAACAATCATCAGCTTAGAAAAGTTGATGTTAAGTTTGACGCATAGGAAGGAAAAATTAAAAAAATCATTTATGACTGATGACAACAACAGGCCACATTGGACATTGAATTCCCCACGGGGACAATTGAAATGAACTACAGTGAATTTCAAAGAGTAGAGCACTCTCTATTTAAGTTATTGCCATTTTTTTGTGTAATCTTTATACATGGCCAGAATCACAAACAATTATATGTATATCTTTAAACCCTTTTATGACTACTTGAAGTTTATGAACTTGCACATTTTTATTTTAACATTTGACCTCACTGTCAAGTATTTGGCACAATACAGACACAGGAAGAGCGTAAATATCACAGTCATACATTTCTACAGGACACTGTTAAATCCTTCATTTTTTAAAACTGGACTTTACAACTCATATTACCTACTCATATAGCCTTTTTTATGATAAAATGATCTGAATTACCACAAATTTTAATAAGAATTAAACTAATGCCTAACTAGTGGATATCTTTCCCAGTCCAAGATCAAAGTTATAACCTTTTAGCTTTTATATTGTTATTGAACAGGGCAAATACAGCAAGGAAATAAAAATTAAAACTTAGTTAAAGGATTAAGCATTACATTCATTATTATCAGGCTTCATTTAACAATTTATCATTATATAAATTATATTATATACATATAAGGATGTGTTGTCCTGCCCTGGTTTTCACCCAAATTTACTGACTAACCCATTACTACTAAATATTTAGAAATTAAACTACATTATTCATTAAAAAGATTATTCATTTAGATTGAATGCAGGTCGAGGGGAATAAGAATGCAGGTCCATATTTTATTTTTTCTCTGTTTCCATGGCAGCACCACAATATTTAATCTCTGTTCGTCTGACGGCCATCAGCAAATATGATGTACCGCTGACCGGCGCATTGCACGGTCCTGAGACAGACAGACAGCACACACACACACACACATGCACACATACACACACACATGCACACACACACACACACACACACACACACACACACACACACACACACACACACACACACACACACACACACACACACACACACACACACACACACACACACACACCCACATAAACATATTGTGGGCTGAGTCTCAGTCTCAATGGACTCTCGCTCCATATCTCTCACCAGTAGGCTGTCAAAACTTAGAGGCAGAAGACTTCAATTGTTTCTACTGCCAACCTGCCGTCTCACATCTTTCCCAACATATTTTTTCCTTCCCTTTCCTCTCTTACTTGTCATTAAACCCTCTAATCCGTTCTAACCCTTACTGTTATCATCCATAACCACGGGCATGCTTGTTTGAAAGCAGCCAAGTCACTTATTTGGACTACCTGCCCAAAAGATATTCTGAGTTGCACTGAACTTCACAATCTTGTTGTGGAGTTGAATTTTATCCGTATGATACTCGATCAAACAGAAAAGATTGAGAAGAACAACAAAACTAAATCAATGATGAACAAGCAGTAAACAAAGTCAACAAAAATAACAAGAGAGGGGCTGGTTAAGCTCAGTTGGTAGTTGGCAGATGCCCCACGATAGAGACCAATTCCTAGATGCACACGTCAATGGACTCAGGGCCTGCGGCCATTTTGCACATATCATCCTCACTCTCCCCCTCCCCACATTTCTTGTGTCTCTTTGGCTGTCCCAACAGAAAAAGGCAAAGGCCAAACAAATAACATAAAAAAAAAATCTTTACCACAATGTCCAATAGTTTTGGAGTTTAAAGTCTTGGTATATATATTCAGACAGAGAAGGCATGCCTTCTTGTGGTTTTCTTACATGGTCATGTCCTTATAAGGACTGTTTTTAGTCTCTGGAGTTGAGTCCAATCCAGATACAGCCCCCTTACCTGTTCAGCTAGATGTTAAGTGTTAGAAAATAGTGGGTAGTCATAACAAAGATGACTACATTTCCTTAAAATGGATGAATGGGAGAAGCAGAACTGCTACAATCCTGTTTGGTTTCTCTATGTTAAGCATCATGTCACCCTGTTTTCCATAACATTTTCAGCACATAGATATGTTTCGCCTGTCAGAACAGGGCTGTAGCAGATCTCATCTGTTATTAAGTACCCAAAATCTTCACTTCTGCAGTATTTTCTAGCATGATAAATGGCTGCGTTTCCTCACATCTGAATCTTTCAAAATCTCATTGAGGTCTCTGTCCTCTTTCAGAGTCCTTCTTTATTTACCTCCCACTCTTACACTTTTTGCTGCATCTCTATCTGTTGGCCCTGCCTGCTCTGACTCTGACTCTGACCCTTTCCGTTCATCTCATACATCGAGCTCTTCTGCCTTTGCCGTCGGTAACACCAAACTCCAACAAAGACTGCAGCAGCAACCATACACACCACTGCGATTATGGCTGCCACGGTGGGCCCACGGCTGGAGGAGCTTGGAGGAGGAGCAGTACAGTTCTCCCCCGTGCACATCACCTCCCCCAACTCTCCCTCCATCTCATCCCTCTCACCGGTCTCGCCAGGGAGGTCGTGCACAGTGTGCCCTCCATCCCTCCAGTGAGTATGTCGCCGTCATGCATTGGTGGAGCTGGGTCTTGCTCCAGGAAGGGGTGCTCAGTTGGGCCACCAATCCATGGGCGGGTGGGAGCTGCTTGCTGTGTGTCGTAGTCGAGGGTGTCAGGGTGTGCGGGGGAATCTGAAGGCTGCAAGGTTGCAGGAGTAATGGTTAACATCTCCTCTACGCCCCCTTGTTGTTCTAAGGACGGGTCAGTATTAGACTCATGGATCTCTGGTGAGTTTGTGTAAGGCACAGGTCCATGAATATCCACATCTTTGGGTTTGTCTGTGGTCCTGACGACCGTCCCCCTCGGTCTTTCTGTTGTGGAATCCCCATTTTCTGCTCCCACTTGAACAACAGGGTAGCCGTCTAACCAGGTGTCATCTGTGGTCGTCTCTTCTCCTGTCACCGTCTGAGTGATGTTGTGGCGATCATCCTTTGCTATAGAGAAGATAACATGCTGATGACCGTCATCTACCTCTTCATGGCTGTCATGGTCGTCATAACTGTCATGGTCGTCGTGTTCGTGATCATGGTGATCATGGTGATCAGGGTAATGGTCGATATCATCATCCTCCGGGTCATAATGCTCCTCACGCTGGTCGTCGTCATGGTCATCGTGGTCTGGATGTTCCTCTGAGCCATCAGGTTGTTGTTGATTGTCTTTGTCACGATCGTCAGTTAAATCCTCGTGATCTTCATAACTTTCATGTTCGTCATACGTGTCGTCTCGATCATCGTACTCCTGGCTGCCGTAGCGGACGCGATCTCGCTCGTCCTCGTGTTCTCCCATGTCATAATGGTCATCGTGGTCTTCGTGCTTTTCATTGTGGTCCCTTCTATCATGCTGAGCTGGAACGTAATGTTCCACATGGTCATCGTGGTCATCTTCTTCCTGGTGACTATTAGGGTCGTCCTGATCATCGTGATGGCTGTCTTCATCAGCATCCCGGTCGTCATGGCTTCTGTCGTTATGATCAGATTGGTCATCTGCGTCTTGATCACCATCATCTGGCTCATGTCATGGTCGTCAGTATGAGCAGGATGCTGGTGGTGGTCCTTCCCTTCTTGGCTCTCCTGCTCTTTGCTCTCCTCTGATTGGGCGCCTGAGGCTCTCTGAGTAGTCTGTGTGACTGGATTAGTGGAGACAGGACCCTGCTCCTGAAAAGCCTCAGATGGAAACCAGAAGAGGTGTTTCTGGGATAGTAGGGACACAGGTGCTTGCGTTGCTGGAGCTGCATCAGTCGTAACCACTTCCCTCCTCTCCTGCTCCCACCTCGGATGGCCTATAAAGTCCTCAACAGGGCGTTCCTCGTCTCTTTCTACTCCTTCAGCGTTTCTTCCAGTCACCTCTCCATCCGCATCATGCTCTTCCCGTTGGTCTTGATGCTCTTTCTCCACTATGACACTGAAGCTTGTCTCTTGTGGCTCTTGACTTGGGTAAACAGGAACATGGATCTCCTCATACACCTCCCCATGAGCCTCTGCTGGTTTTTTATTGTGATGTTCCACCTCTCCATATGAATCTGGGAACGTATCCTCATAGTCTACATGACCTTCGGTCTCATCTGCAGAAACACAAAGGACAGATTTACTTCACATATCAAAGACAACTTTAAGATTCTGACAAAGTTGTATTTAGTAGCAAAAGATAGCCAAAGATAGGATTGGGACCATATAGATTGGACTGGAAAATACACTTGTTTGCTTTCTTACCAAGACATGAGAACTATGATACTACTAAAAAGTAGTTAATCCAAAATAAGGCATTTTAGCCTAACTCAGAGTAAAGATTGCAAACCAGGGAAATTCACTTTCACAGGGGTGCTGGATTTACAGCACCCGCCCTTTAAACAGTCTATAGCCTTCAAACCTATGGCCCCAAGTTTGACCTCAGCCCTTTGCTGCATCTACTTTCACTCGACTCAATACCACTCTACTTTCTGTATTTCCTCTCTATTTCTATCTCTATTAAGGCAAAAATTGCCAATATTTTAAAATCTACTATTACGTATAAATTCCTATTATTTGCTGGATATGTCTCTAAACAAGGCTTTGACTAAACTCAGATAAAAAAACAGATTTCTCCACTCTGGCATTGTTGTCTCATTAGATCATCTTTGACCTCTAGTCTTTATCTTGGAACGGTTCAGGACCCACTGCTCTTGAGCACAAACATGACTCAGACTCTGTTAGCTGATTATGGACACAGACCTAGCATACCAACCTCGTAGACAACTACTTCCCTCTTCTCCCTCAGCTATGAACCCATCTACACTATGGCATGTCACACTGAGGTGTGATGCAGCCATTTTCATCCCGACTCACAACTGAGGCTCTGTTTTCCAAAGCCAGGAATCAAGTACCAGTCACCTAACAACAATGGAAGCTAACAAGCAAGAAGCAAGGAGGTCGAGTTTAGACGGGGTCTCCTGTTTGGGTCAAAGATCAAAGCTTTGAAGAGGACAAGAAAAAAGGGGGCCTTTCTCTTTCTGCCTTTCAATTTCTGCCCAACAAAAACAGTTTAAAGAGCTCCTTACCTTTGACACAAATCTCCACCAGTCCATACCACTCTCCACAGCTGTCACACAGCAGGCTGAAGGCCTTGTGTCTGCTGGGCATTAAATACCCTGGCACACAGGTGTAGAGCAGTTCATCCCCCATCTCATACCCACTGTGCTCCTGTAGATGGGCATTAGGAAAGGATGGAGGGTCCCCACAAGGCACATCTGTAAAAACCAAATACACACATTTAATTTAAAACTAAAAGAAAACTATTGAACAAAGAAAGTGAAATGTAAGTGTTGAATTGTTAAAAAATTAAGAAGATGACGAAACAATCCCTATTCAAAAGTGCATATTTTTGTTTAGTGTTAAACATAACAACTTCGTTACTTGAGTCAAAGTGTATGCAAACCTCTGTTAAGATCGACACATTTCTTGTGGACAATTCCAGACAATAATCTCGAAACCATTCCACCTGAATGTACAATTGTTTTCTCTGATTATGCTACTTTTTAGATTTTCATTTTCATGCTTCATCTTTTGTAACTCAACATCATTTGAAATAAGAGAAACTGCAATGCTTCTGAGGATAAACTAAAGGTTTGGATGAACAAAGAAATGGAGTCCACTCATATGATATAATTCAGTACATACAGTATGTGTGTTTACTGACCTCTGTCTTTAATGCAGAAGGCGTTGAGGTTGGCAGCATCTTCTGTGGCGTTTTGTGTTCTCACGTCCACTGCTTTAAAGGCACTGCCCACAATATTACACACTGTGGTCCTAGAAGACAATAAACAGACAGAGAGATAGATTAAAACATGTCTTCTCATGTGCATACAGACATACTTACATATTAGTCAGATTAAACACAGTCTATGTTTAATTTTTAACTCACATAACACATACCGGCATATTAACTACAAAGGGAAAGATAAAGTCGATTTTACTCAACCTCATTTAGTTTAAGCTTAGAGGTCCAGTGGGGAACTTTCAGCTAGCATTGGTTTTGGTGACCCCCAGTTGACAAAGATGTACCTCTATGACTTTGCTGATTTCTCTTTCTCTTCTATGTGTTGTGTTTCTGAAGACAAATCTTCCCTTGCTTTCTTTTAGAAGCAACCACACATACCCATTAACAAACATACCAAATTTGTCATGACAAAAATGAAACCATGCCAGGTTAAAGTCAACAAACACCACAAACACAACATTGGTGCGGCAGTAGCTCAGTCTGTAGGGACTTGGGTTAGGAATCAGAGGGTTGGAAGTTCAAGTCCTGGCACGGGCCAAGTCCAGAAATTGGTCTGGGAGCTGGAGAGGTGCCAGTCCACTTCCTGAGCCCTGCTGAGGTTCCCTTGAGCGAGACACCAAACCCCCCCCCCACCAGCTCAGGAGCACCCACTGTGGGCAGCCCCCTCACTCTGAGACCTCTCCATTAATACATGTCCATAGGATCCTGTTTGTGCATGTGTGTTTATTTCGGCCTATGTTTGTGTAGCATGTTAACTAAAACGTAAGACGTAAGTTAACTAAAACGTGTAAAAACAAATTTCCCCTCGCAGGATCAATAAAGTATAGAATTATTATTAACCCCTCAGAGGTCTTTCCTTCAATTAACTATAAAGATACAAATAATCCAAAAAAGGTTGAATGTATGGTACAAAATATTAAACGTTTGCAGAATATTTCTTCTTTCTTACTTCTTCCATTAATCATCCAAATCTGCCTCTATATCTACTCTTTTACTTGAAGTATTATTACTTTTACAAATGCAGAGGAACTTCCCTGCACTCCTTCAGCTGTGACTTCACCCCTGTCAAAAGTAAAGTTAATGGAATCCTGCAAAAACAGTATCTATAAAGCAGCAGATCTGGTGTATGTATGTATCCTGGTAACATGACAACACACACATCCAGATGCATACAGTACTCTGTGTCCTCTCTTGGTCACTCCCTGATTAGTAACTTACTTAAATATTATCACAGCATGACATTAGAATCCAGGGGCAGACATCAGGGCTTAGGCATGCTGCAGTATCAGCACTTGTAACCGGTGGCACAATATTATCTCACTGTGACACATTACGAATAGATGTTCCCATGCTGAAGCCTGAAGTTACAGCCAGCTTCATATAGAACAATGATAACATTAGGGCCTTGATATAATGCAAAGTCTACAGGGAACAAATGAATAATGTCTACAAGCTGCAGTGGCAAAAAAAACTGCTGAGTTAAAAGTCTATTTTTGGTTGCAACATTAAGGTTTATAGCATCATTAGCCCATTTGTCAAACAAAAGCAATAGATAAGACTGACTCAGACTTCCCAGGCCAATCAAATCATGTTCCCATAGTAGCTCCCGACACACATCAGAGTTTGGCTGAGTTTAGAGATGTAAAAATAAATGCAGACGTATTACACCCTTTACGATATGAATAACAGGTTTGATCTGTAGGATGGATAATCAAGCATCATTAAATGGAAACGGATGTGGCACAGGCTCGTATGTCTGCACGTTTGTGAGTGTGTGTGTGTGTAAACTTGAGTTCCTGAGTTAATCAAAGCAACAGTAATTGGAAAGAATTTGACTGGCAGCGCAGCGAGACTGTGAGAAGTGGTGTGAGTCATGCTGCATGCTTGTGCCATGCTAACTTCAGCTTATAAGGACAAAAGTCAAAATGGGAGCGAGAGAACTGGGCAGCAAGACAGAAACCGCCAAGAAAACACTCTGAGAGAGAAAAAAAACACAAATGCTGTTTTTACACTGAACTGCAGCTCATACAGGCCTGTGTGTGTGTTTCTGTGTGTGCGTTTTTGTGTCTGCGTTTTTGTGTCTGCATGTGAGAAAAGAGAAAGTAACAGACCTCTCATCATTCCTACCCTACTTCGAGCCCCTCACCTAACATGACACAACTATAAGTGGAAAAAATCCCAATGTGTGCTTTTATGTACCTGAGTGTCAATTCAGACAGATTGTGTTTGGTTACCAGGGTCGCAGATCTATGATTGACAGGTAAGAGGAAGACGTTAAGGTCATTTTGAGAAGCACTTGTTATTACGAAACAGACCTCAATATTATGTCAGTGCAATTTTTTCGCCCTGTGACAGCAAAATATTACTTCCTGCTTTTATAAGGTGAATTAAAATCATCCCAATGTTCAGGTTTCTGTTGCTATGTAACCTCCTTCTTTTTCTCTCATGTCAACCCCGTTTGTAAACCCTGTTTTTAAAGGTGCTGTAAACAAAGTTATTCTAATCTAAAGAGCAGATGAAACTTTCAAATCTAAAATGTGCCTGAAGGTGTATAGACTAATAAATATTACTTTCAAAGTGATAACATAATAACCCATTTTTACCATTCAGCTTACAATACCTTGTTTAGCCATATGAGCACTAGCATTAGCTGAGCTACATTAGCTGTGGTAGCATTGGCTGTGCTAGCAGTGGTGCGCTGAGACTTGATAGTTTGTTGGTCTGTAGGTTTTTACGTTAGTGATTTCTGGTTTAGACTAAATAATCTCTGGATATATATATTCCTAAACATGAAATGAATATCTTAACTTTTATCTCCCAACTAACTATATCCCCCCACCGGTTGTCAGGTGAAATGTTTCATTGTCTAATACTTTGCTTTGAGGACAAATTATTAGTTTACACACTATAGAGCAATGTTTCCATTACATTGTCAACACTGAATGCATTATGACCTGCTCATTCTAGCATTCACTTCAAGCACAGCTCCATGGGCTGTAGACTTCTTGTCATGTTTTTGATCGTTTTATTATTTCTTTGTTATATCTATGATTTATATTTCAAAATAATACTGATATGTCAGTGAATTATTCAAGCAAACAGACTCTTCAAATTCCCAGATTGAGATTTTCCAAAGTAAGGGTATAAAGCTCTAGGTAAGCCTATATTTTTTAAGATTTCAGATTTTTTTTTAATGACAAAATATTGATTTATTTAATTAAAAAGAGAATTAAAGAATTTCAGAAGCTATAACTTGTAGTAGGCCCTTCTTTAGAAATGTTCAGGGTAGAAAGGAACCTATTTTCGTGGGCAAACTAAGAAATAACACATTTTATTCATACATCGATAACTATCAAAAAAGGAAACTTTGCTAGAACACCACTTTTGAAAACTTCAGGATAGGTTGTTTCAGTCCAACTCTGAAAAGCACAAGCCTGTGTAATACTGAACATTTACACCCTACAGGCTTGAAATCACCTTATAGGCTATAACAATATAGAAAAGCCTGGTTGTAATATTTCTGTTTATCCTCTCCATAACTGCTGGGGATACAAGTGTCAATCAAACACCTGAATAAAACAATGTACTTCTTTACCGTCAGGTCTGTCTGTCTGTTTCTGTCTGTCTGGGGATGCTGAAGGCAGTGTGTCATGTTACCGTGGAGATGAGAGGTGTAAATGGAGGCAGTTGTCGACATGACACCCCGGCTCAGAATTTCCTCCTCCTCCAGGAGGGAACAGAGGAGTCTTTCTCCCTCTCCTCCTCCGTCTTTCTTCTCTCTTTCCCCTTGAAATGTGTCACCCTCGTCTTCTATCTTCCCACTCTCTCTATAAGTACTGCTGCTGCCTTCACTTTCTTTCCCTTTCATCCGTTCCTGAGACCTCCATCACACACACAGAAGGGTATACACACACCAAGATGACCTTTGATCTAGACTAGACATCTCAGGTCTCCTTTTTTTGTGCCTTATAACAACTAAGACCCTCACTCACAAACATGCACAGCATTATAGACAGATGCTTCCTTTCTTACCCCACTGAGCCTCCATATAGCCACCCACGGGTGCAGGGGGAGAAGAAGCACTCTACCACAGCGTGATGGAGCTCCTGTGCTGATGCAAGACGGGCATGTTGTGAGGCACAAGCCCTCTCGGCGTCTCTGAATCCCTGCAGGCCAGAGGAGTTCCTCAGGTTCAACACAAACACTCGACCTAAGAAGAGAAGAAACTTTGAATATCTTTTCTTTTACCTTTAAATCGGCTGTATACATTTGACCTTTGAGCCTCTGGGTTCTGGCTGTGTCTGGAAAGCATTTTTAGAATATATTGCTTGCCTAACAACATTGGACAAAGAACCCAGAAAACTAGCCTTTCAGCCAACTGAGCTACATTTACATCTTTTTTTTTTTTTTAATGTTCACCGTTCCTTTCAAAGTTGTATGTTCTCTCTTTTCTGTCTTCCAAAAACAATAAAAAAAATATGCCTTAGTTTAGGCTAGACAATCAACTGCAATTTGGTTACACTTGTTAGGCTACAGGAACTTTATATCAGCATTAGATATTTTTTCTGCATACTTTTTCTTGCCAATTTTCATTGTGCTATTGAATGAAATCCCAGAGTTTCCACTAACATCACATTATGATCCTTTTAGACTTAACAGCAAAGCAGGCCATTCACAGATACACAAATATAGATTTAAAAAAACCAAATTGTTAATTTATATATGTTGATACAGCTTTTAATTAGATTATGAACGACAATCCAAAACAAAATCAAAACATGTATCCTACCTAAGGTAATCTATTATCACGTAAAATTCCAGTTGAATTCCAACTTCATACAAAATAATATTTGACCCCATCAGCTGATCAATTAACATGCATGGTATAAAGTATATTACTGCAGCAACACACATGACATCTCAGTATCTGACTTGAACAGGGTACAAGTTTTCCAGATGTAAGCATTTGCTTTATCTACTCCCTGTTGGTTTATTGGCTACATGCTCGAGCCCATTGTCACTGTCACTGTCACTGTCTTCTCTTATAGGGTTAAAAACACTGAACAGCTTTACTGTTAGAGGTTGAGAAAGCGAAATATGTTGCCAAAGATGACAATTATGTCTGCATTGATTATTCTATTACTGCGCCCGAATATCCATTTAGCACAGTTTAATTAGACTTGTGGCTTTTTGTATATTGCTCGAAATAATTACATTGAATTAAAAAAAAAAAAAAAGGGGGGCTACAAGGGAACTTGCTCGCTGACATTAGCTATGAAAGGTTCGATCTTTTTGGGCAGGTATTTTTTCTAAGGCTCTTTGTAAGGATTAGTACATTACCAAATGTTAAACAAACTCAATAGAACATATTTTACATTCCATTAGGACTTTATAATTGTGTTGGAGATCATTTTTAAGGTTGTAATACACTCTAGAGTTCTTTTGTCACTCAGGTAATACAATAATTTGGTTAAATGGCTAAAAATATGAACTTACCATCTGCATTTACAACAGAAGTCACCAATAGACAAGCCAGGACTCCAAAGGGCAACTTCATTGAAATTGTCTTGCAACGATCCAGCATCTTTCACGAAATCTAACTTTTTTTTTTTAGGTTGCAAAAAGTGTCCAAAAAAACTTTTTGTCCTAACGTGCTTTTTTTTTTTTTGTTTGTTTTGTTTTTTTGAGTGTGTCCAAATAGTTATTCACGATCTTGAAGGGTAGAGTGATGATAGAGAGGCAAACTACCGCTTTTTCCCTCCTGGCGGACAGAGATGGACTGAGCAGCAGGAAGGTGAGCGTGATGACGGAGAGAAAGCGGTCAGAGAGGCTCGAGAGCAGGGCGCACTTTATCTCCCCAAATAGTCGCCCGGTGTGAAAACTCGCGTGTCCTCGTTAGTAAATACGTCACGGCTCAAAATCTTAACTGCTCCTTCAGAGACTCAGAAAGAGCTGCTGCTAAAGTGTTCATGAGCAAGAAATGGGAGCACCAGCCGCTCATTACATGTGAGCTGGCGTGGCTAAAAACCTCAGCCTCCAGATACTGCCCAAACGTAACTGAGTGTTAGTGTTGAGGATGACATGCAGGCACTGCAATGCTATTTAAAGACAATTACTCTAATTAGGAACAGAGCACCAAAAATGGAGCTTATCCTTTGAGCATTAAAATCTTAATTAAGGTGAGCTTTCCTTTCTGTTAGGCCAAACTTCCATTGGGGTGAGTGTGTGTGTGTGTGTGTGTGTGTGTATATGTGTATATGTGTGCGTGTGTGTGTGTGTGTATATGTGTGCGTGTGTGTGTGTGTGTGTGTGTGTGTGTGTGTGTGTGTGTGTGTGTGTGTGTGTGTGTCTGTCCCATTTGGTGAGGAAGATAAAGATGGATGACTAAAGCCCATAGAGAGCTCTCACATTGTTTGAGTGAATCTGCATGTGAAGATAACAGGACCACATAGCACCAGTCTGTATTTACATCAATGCACTTAAAGCAACATTAAAACATATAAAACCCATAGAAACAAATTCAATTGTATCATTGTGTGCACATGCTCTTGCTTTGGTATAAAAACATTGTCTTGTCTGCTCAAGTTACATTTAAATTTGCACATCTATACATTTGCATAACCATCAAAGGCAAGTGATTAATGCAACATTTGTAATATGACTGCTTTTTTGGCAAGTGAAAACCTGACTTTCAAAATAGTATAACACCCAATGTCTAGATGGATGTTATCCAGTTGTCGTTGTAGATTATTTCCAGACTGTAATGGACAAGCCTGAGTGATGTGACCTATTGGTTTCTGAAGTGCAGTTTTGGAAGCCTGTCCAAAGCGGTCGCCATATTGGAAATGCTGACTCTAATGAACTTTTGGTCAACCTAATAATAATAATAATAATAATACATTTTATTTAAAGGCGCCTTTCAAAACTCTCAAGGTCACCTTACAGAGCAGAGATTAAAAAAAACAACAACAAGGTAACGACACAACGATAAAATTAACATTAAAAAACACAAATGTACAGGATGTAAAGGAGTTATGAGAACGGGTGGAGAATGATCAGACTGAATATGCCAGTTTAAAAAGATGTGTTTTGAGATGAGATTTGAAAATGGAGAGAGTGTCGATATTACGGATTTGTGGTGGGAGAGAGTTCCAGAGGTGAGGGGCAGAGCGGCTGAAGGCCCTGGACCCCATGGTGGACAGGCGGGCGGGTGGTTCAGTGAGTTGAATGGAAGAAGAAGACCTGAGAGTGCGGGTAGGTATGTTGATGTGCAGGAGTTCCGAGATGTAAAGCGGAGCGAGGTTGTGGATAGCCTTGAAGGTGAGAAGCAGAATTTTGAAGGTGATGCGATGTTTAACCGGGAGCCAATGAAGCTGCTGTAGGACAGGGGTGATGTGATTAACAGAGGGCGTTCTGGTGATGATGCAAGCGGCAGAATTCTGGACCAGTTGAAGTTTGTGGATGGACTTGAGAGGGAGACCAAAGAGAAGGGAGTTGCAGTAGTCAATGCGGGATGTAACCAGGGTGTTGACGAGGATGGCAGTACTGCTGGGAGTGAGGGACGGGCGGAGGCGATTAATGTTACGTAGATAGAAATAAGCAGACCGGGTGATATTATTGATGTGAGCTTGGAATGATAATGTGCTGTCAAGGATGACACCCAGACTCTTAACCTGAGGGGAAGGGGAAACTGAGGAGTGGTCAATAGCCAGAGAAAAACTGTCAAGTTTGGAGATTGTTGATTTGGTGCTGATGAGGAGAAGCTCGGTTTTGTCACTGTTTAATTTGAGGAAGTTGAAGGTGAACCAGGATTTGATTTCTTGCAGGCAATCAGTCAGGGAAGTGGGCGGGAGGGAGGAGGTGGGTTTGGTGGACAGATAGAGCTGGGTGTCATCCGCATAGCAATGGAACTGGATGTTATACTTACGGAAGATATGGCCAAGAGGAAGGAGATAGATGATAAACAGAAGGGGGCCCAGGACAGAACCCTGAGGAACACCGGTGGTGACTGGAAATGGTTGGGATTTGAAGGTTCCGAGTTGAGTGAACTGAGTACGACCAGAGAGATAGGATGAAAACCAGTGCAAGGGTGTGTCAGTGATTCTGATGGAGGCAAGTCTGTCAAGGAGTGTGTGATGGGAGATGGTTTCGAAGGCTGCACTTAGATCAAGGAGGATGAGGATGGTTAGAGGTCCGGAGTCATCTGCCATGAGGAGGTCATTGGTGATTTTTACCAATGCTGTCTCTGTGCTATGGAGGGGGCGGAAACCAGACTGGAACTGTTCATAGAGGTTATTGTCAGACAAATGAGTGTGAACCTGAGATGCAACTGTTTTTTCAAGAATTTTGGATAGGAAGGGTAGATTAGAGATAGGATGGAAGTTATTGAAGTCATTTGGGTCTGCAGCAGGTTTCTTAAGTATAGGGGTTATTGAAGCTGACTTGAAAGAAATGGGAACAAGATCAGAGGTGAGGGAGGAATGTATGATGACCATTATTAGGGAAGACAGAGGGGGTAAGCAAGCTTTTACTAGGACAGTAGGGAGAGGGTCTAATGGACAGGTAGATGGTTTTGATTTCTGAATGAGGTCAGATATTTCAGCAACAGAAGCAAAGAGCTGTAGCTGACAACCATGGCTACAACATGGCAGCTTACAGCAGAGTCCGGGACATTTCATAAAATCAAAACAAATATTTACCCCAAGTACAGGGTTAGCTGTGTTAACTAATCAGACCAAAATCTGTTTTTGTACCAGGCTTTAAACACGTTAATTTCTGCTGTCAAAATGAAGAATCGATGGGATGTGTATGGGACTTGCAGGTTTTTTTAAGCCAGCCTCGAGCGGACACTTGAGGAACTGCAGATTTTTGCATTTCCACATCGGCTTCTTTTTCAACACCGCTTGCCGCTTGGTTATTTCCCACCTATGTCTCAGCATTTAAGACAACTTGGTCAATTTTTCAAGTCAAATGTTGTTCATCTGCACTTTTATGACATCTGGAAACTTCCCCTGCTGAAGAATATCATGGACTTGAGCTTGTATAGCGCTAGTCTTCTGACTTCTCATAACACTCGCCGGCTCTTACACCTACCCCTTCACACGCAGAGGCTGCTATGTAAAATGACCATCACAAAATAACTAATACCATTCATACACATTCATACACTGCCAATGAAACAGAGGGAGCTACTTAAGTGTGGGGCTTGGGGTTAAGTGTCGTGCCCGAGGACACATTGGACATCTGGCTGCCGGAGCTGGGGATCGAATCACTGACCGACTACCAACTGATCCACAGCCGTCCTGTTCTTGTGATCAAAGTTTCCATAAGATACAAAGTTCAACTGATTGTTAGTGGACAAATATGTATAAAAAATACTTTTCTAAAGTAAGAGTTGATAACCATGTTCATTGTAAAGACACTCAAATGCAGATAAAAATACTGCTGCGAAAATGTTAACTATAAAATACTTTTAGTATCATAAAAAAAAGACTTAAAATAGAAAGGTTAGGTGTGCAGAATGATGGTTCCTGTCATGATGTTTATTACTGCTTTAATGTAAACAATTTACATTTTACAGTTGTAGAGGGCTGCTACTAAAAATAACTTCTATTGATAACTAATCTAGTGACCTTTTTTATCTATAAATTAATTATTGCTCCTTCGTTTGGCTATTAGTACAAAAAAGGACATAGGAGCATACCTCAACTTAAAACATTATATTTGTTAACCTACTTGCTACTGTAAGAAATACCTGTATATATATGTATAATATATTTATAACGCCTGTATAATAAATAACGTTGGAATTTAACCACTTTCTAGCCACTGTTATGTTTGCTGAGACGTGGCTGAATGCAAAGATTGACTTCTGAAAGTTTGAAAGGGTACATTAGGAAAGGCGTAAAGAGGCTTTTATGCTGTTTAAACAACATATTTGAAAAGCCATTTTACATTTAGCCAACAGCAAATATTAGAAGTTTGCTAACGTTACCACTCTCTTGCTTCTGCTAGCTGTAATCACTGCCTTTTCCTTTCATTTGGAAAAAACAACTGATAGCACATTTTTAAATGAAAAAAATAAACATTGGAGGCCTTCCTCAGGGAGTGACACCTTTAATGAGAAATCACACTTATTCATATCTCCACATCCCACCTTTCCATTTTCATTATTCTCCATGTTCCCTCCGGCCCAGTGGAGACACCTATGCTGCTGCTGCATTGTGCCCTTAAGTCCCTCACTGATGTTTCTCCAATTCTCAGTTTTTCGTTGTCACATTTTTTCACCCTGCTCTCATGCACATGTCATTCTTTCACGTCTTGATCAGAGGGGTCTGGATAGGTAGGCGGGTATCCTGACTCAGGCACGGAGGTCTATTTCTGGAGAGGTTTGAGGGGCCATAGAGGAGAGGGGACTGAGATGGCAGGGAAGAGAGAGACAGTGATTCACACCTGCACCATTTCAGAGAAGCTGGTGAGAATTATGTTTCCTGCAGGTGTCCGGCTTGGGGTGGGAGGGTGAGGGGGCACATTCAGACTTCACACAGGTGTGTTATCTCATAGGACTAATAGACAACACCCATAAGACTATCCGAGTTCTGGAAGTAAACACACACTTACAATACACAAAACCACAAAATTGAGTATGTGTGAGACCAGTGACTTCCGATGTGAGACATGCCCTGTCAGAAAGAGTGACGTGTAGAGCAGGTGTGTGGTTGAGTCAGAGGAAATCAGTGGTCACACTGGGG